GTTTACCATCAGAATCATTCATGTCAAAAACTTCCCAGCTGTCAAAAACGCCAATAGTCAGCACCGTGCATGGATCATAAACCTTCCATGTATACTGCTCGTTCCATTTCGGATCCAACGAGTCAGAAACAGTTCTTGTGCGTACCCATTTGGGTCCGTATTTAGCTACAGTATATGCATCTGTGGAGCCTTTACAATCTACTGTTTTAATGGGTAGCAAGTTCTTGCATCCAATGATCCCAAGCTCCACAATCCCAACAGGAGGTTTCCATAATTGTCTAGCTGTTGGTCGATAATCACTGCACACGTTTGCTGCCTCGTCCATTACATGATATCCCCCATCGAAGCAAAGCCTTAGATGGGCTCTACCTTTATATACTTTCTGCTCGTTCTTTGTATCTTCAAAATTAAACCATCGGGAAACCACTTTCCGGTCATCAACCCGTCTTTCGATGGCGGTGAGAGGAACACTGGTGACTCCTAGTGTTACTGGTCCTTTAGGTTGCCGGTTTTCGAGGGAAAATATCAAGTGGTTGTCGCTAAATGGCTCTGCCGCAACGAAGAGTAAGTCTTCGTTCCATGATGGAGCTCCATTTCGTGTCACAGCGATTTTGGTCTTCTGCACTTGGAACCCTAACTGAGATTTGATTTGAAAGGAAGCTTCTTTTACTGCTTTCATCGGTAAAACATCTTGGGCTTCGAGAATCGTGACTCGAAGATACCAAAGCTTGGGGGAGATATAAACTTTTGCTTTAGAGTTAGTATTACCAGCTGTGTCGCTTTTCCAAGCATCCGGAAATGAGTCATCAGCCTGGGTTCCGATCCACGTGGCAAGCATGAGATCACTGTTGTGGGCCCCACCTCCTTCTAATCTGTACCATTGTGGAGCTAATGGACTGTCGGGTGGGTCCCGCAAAGGGATTTCTGTCACGTCGAAGCAAATGCCTCCTAAGAAATTTCTTTCATCGGCGTCAGACATGGAGTTCGAAGAAGGCGACGATGGGTCCCAGACGGAGATCTCTAATATGGAAGATGATAAATCAGGTGGATCGCGTACGAATGCAAAAATCTGGTCCCATTCAAAGTAGGCAGTTTTTCTTGCAGGTTTTGATACGATGTGGGTGTTGGAAGTTGAGATCTTCACTACTGGATCCCCATTGGTGGGAAGTGATCGAGCTTTTAACACACGAACGAACAGGTAATGCATCTTCTCCACGAGATCGAACGACGAGCGTTCGATGCTCGGAGTTGTAGAGATATCTGAAGTGTAGCTTGCCGCTTCACTAACCGTCCTGATGATGGGTTGGGGAGGGTTGATTCCGGACACTTTCATGTCCGGCATGGAGACTGATACAGACCTTGTTATCGTGACTTCAGGCTGTGGCGAGGTATCA